TTTAATCTGAATGTTAAAAGTTATAGAACTGTAATAATGAATATAATTATCTGTGAAATTACAGTAATTATTGCTGTTTACACTGATAAAAACTGTATTCTGACAGTTTACCAATGCTTATACACTGATAAACCACATTTATTCTACGTTTCTGTTGTGAAAACTTCCAAAATTATAAAAGATATCTGTCAATTAACATCAAATCCATGTAAAATTACAGAACATCAGAAACACAACAAAAGCTTGTGTTTCTGTAAAGAACTCGAGTTCCCTCCGGGGGGGCTCTGGAGGACAGAAGGATGCTCAGTGAGATACAGATGCTACTCACATCACTGTCGCTCACATAATCACTGTAATTAAACGTACCCTGTTGGCCGTTTCTGCTTTGATAAAGTAGCTTCCAGCCTGTAGGACCATGACAGTGCAGGTCTTCTGTTAGAGGTAAACACAGGGTGGAATATATCATACAGTTTGGTCTTGTATTAGCTGGAAATTGAATTCTGTGAAAAAGAAATGAATCTTTTTCTTATTTTGATCCCTTAGATTCTCAGAGCTGATCAGATCTATAATTTCAGATAAAATGTGTCTGTGAACGTATTAAATAAAAGTATGATCATCAAACTGTACTTAAAGTATGAAAATGTTCCCTGTCTGTGTTTTATTGTATCTGATGTTTCTGGATATTGAATATTCCTGCTGCATTAATGTTGTATTTTACTGCTGTCGATGTTTATAAACTGTTTAATGTACAGCATCATATTCTATAAGATCCTCATATGTTTGTAGTGTTGTCTTCAATGTTTAATGAATTATTTCACTTTCTCCTGCAGTTATAGGACCCTGCTCAACCCTGGAGGGGTCGATATCGCTCATGTCTTATTAGGAGGAGCCGAGCGTCTCCTGGTTCCCCTGCAGTTCGCACCCTGACAGCTCGTCTTCAGCTCTGTGACGATGCATTTTCCAGCTAATCCAACAGGGTTTTTAAATAGTTCATCTGGCTTAAGAAGAATTTTCTCACCACGTACAGAAACTCTTCGTCCTTCATACAAACATTCACAATCAACACATAAAGGATCAAATATCATCATATAACACATGAAAGTCGGCCTTCCCTTCATGTTACACACATAGAAAAGGTAATAAAATTTATATTAAAATAACATAAAATACCTCAAATAAACCAACATATACAGTTATTTATATCTCTATATATAATAAAGTGTTTATTAATGACAGTTTAAACCAGAAGTGGCCAGATTTCAACTCCCGGTGGACCAAAGTACCGCTGCTGAGAACCCTCCGGTTCAATATACAGTGCAGCGTCGCCCTCAGACAGTAGCAGTGGGTCAGTGGACCACGACCCAGAGTCCAGTTCACATTGACAGAGACGTTTGCCTGCTGGCTCCTGTTTTACATTGCAGATTAACGAGAGAACAAAGTGGCCCGCAGGTCCTGTTCCAGTTCACTGCACTGGCTCCCAGAAATAAATTAAAAAATAAATAAATAAATAAATAAATAAATAAATAAAAGGGAAAAGGTCAGAATTACATAAAAAGCTTCAGCACCACTGACCAACAGCATGCTGCACGGATCAATCCTGGATCCACTGAATCCTCCAATCTCTCCAGTTCATTGTAAGAGCGGCGTGTTAATAACATACAGATGTTTGTGTCCACGGGTCTTTATTGGCGGTGCTGTCGTGGCTTTCTTTTAAAATGACGGCAGATATGAAACTAGATGACCTGTTGCATCCATTGGTACCAACCACTTGGTGTTAGCATGTCGGGAATAACGCTCCAATGTCAGGCTACATTTTACCGATGGAATAACTGGCATTGCCATTTTCAGGCTGGATTTCTTGACCTCTGACCTTAAGATATCGTAATAAAAATGGGTTCTCTGGGCACCCACGAGTCTCCGCTGTGCAGACATGCCAGCTTTGTAATGTCCAGCAGGGGGCAGCTCCATTGGCAGCCGATGAGAGCAGCTCGACTCGCAGTACATCGCCTCTGCTGGGTGACATCACGGTTCCTACGTCTGGTTGGAGATCTCAGCTTTTATTACCGTCTACAACCACATAAAGGTAAAATACCCCAAAAATATATGAATAAGTGTCTCTTGCTGCTGTCCAGTGGGTGTTTTTTGTATTTATTTGAACCCTCTCGGAGCGCCATCCACGATTCACCTTTATGACATTTAAGTGTTGGCTACTGTATCTAATGTTAGCTTCGTATTTCCTTTGTCACCGACCTTTTCAGTCCTTCACTCTGTATTTGAGGCAGGAGGGAGTGAAAGAGACGGACACAGGAAGAGGAAGACATTGTTGGAGTTTTTCCATTAAAGGTTTTATGAGAATAAAAGATAAAAGAACGTCAGCGTTTTCAGATCCGAAAGGTCACTGCTGGGAGTTTTATCCCAACTCCTCGCCGTGCTCCGTGTACGTGGAGGAGAGCGGCTGGATGCCTGACTGCGAATGTAACAAATGAAGCTGCAGCTGAATATAATTTTCTCACGAGGTTCATTAAACATTTCAGATAATCAATCATTTGGCAGCTGCACACAAACATCCGTCAGCTGTCAGAGAGTCTCGCTGCACGTCTTTAAGATGAAATGAATCACGCAGTTATCACACAACTCTCCGTCCAATCCGGGATGTTCACTGTCTGAACACAGGGAAGGAGAGCTGATGGTGATTATAAAGATGATGATGATGGTGATGATGATGTTCGGACTGCTGCTCGGTTCGTGGCTCCAGTTGAGTCACTGTCGGAGCCTGAAATGTCAAACGCCTCCGACCTCGGGGTTGCTATGAGAGGAGCCGGGTGGAAAGGTCAAAATGTGGCGGCGAGCTTCAAATAAAGTTATTAACGGGGTTTCAGTTTTATTAATAACACTTAGGAGGAGGATTCAATACAGGTCCCAGTACTGGTGCATGATGGGAACAAAATGAGACTGAAGGGGATTATTTTATTCCTCAGACAGATATCTATAAAATATATTTATCAAATTAAAGAATCATTTTTTATTTATTTCTGATGTCAACTGTAGAAAACAATGCTCATATGTACTGTACTTGCTACTGCTGACACTTTAAACTGGATCATTACTTTAGTTTTAATGCATTTAAGGGGAATTATTATTATTAATATTATCATTACTGCATCATTGCACACCTTCCCAACATCAAGACTGATGCTCATCACTCAGGAGAGTTTATACTTTGCTTTCCACAGCCTGTACTTTTTCACTTTTACTTGAGTAAAGAATCAGTACTTGTACTTTTATCTATGTGTACTTTGGCCACCTGTGGCAAACTGTAGACAGCTGTATTTACTCTTTAGCCCAAACTCTACATTTTGTTTCAAGGAACGAGAAAGTGAATAAGACTGAGAACAACTGCAGTACTTTATTTATATTATTTATTATTTATAGTACCATAAAGTTTACTTCCTTATGGTCGGCGCTGTTACTCAGCATCAGTGTTTCTGAACAATAATCTCCAATAAATCTGGAACAAATTCACAGGATGAGTGATGTGTGACAGACTCACCACTGTGTGCTGCAATGGAAGAGCGCCACCCAGTGGAGAACGTCTACATGTACTGTTACATCACCTGAGCATCTCTGCAGGGGAACAAAACTCAGGTACTTTACTGTATTTAAGGATTCTGTTTCCACCTCTAACAGAAAACAATGTTTTAGTCGTTACATTAACTGTAGTACTGCAGTAAAGTACAAACTCAAGGTACTTGTACCTGAGTATTTACATTAAATGCAGCTTCATACTTCTACCACACCACATATATTTATCTGACAGCTTTACTAGTATTTGTTCAACTAGTTTATTTATTTCTGCTTCAGTTCAGAAACTAAAACAGAAACCAAAAACAACACAAATACAGACAAAAAACTAAAAGTACCAAAAACACAAAAAGGATTCCTGTACAGACAATATACAGTAAACAATAACACAACAACAACAATGCAAAATGTAAGATTACACGTGCACATTAAGCGGGGTTATTGCACTGAGGGGAGAGGTTCAAGGTGGTTCGTACAGTCCACTATGGACCTGGCTCTGTGTAGAACCTGCTGGTCAAATACAGCCATCAGGGGTCTGTGGGACACGGTTCATCCTCCCACCGGCCTCGACAATGTGGTTCAGGTGGTTGTTAGTGTTTGTGACCCAGTAACAGCTGAAAGCTCATAAAACACAGACACAAGATAAAATACTTTATAAAGAATAACAACCAACACACAGACGTATAAATCATCAGGACTGATGTTCAGTGTTTGAGATACACATTGTTAATGTGACTTTTTACAGATACAAACATATGATGATCTTATAGAATATGAAGCATTGCTGCACATTAAATATGAACACAAACACACCACAGGGAACATTTTACTGCTCTAATAATCTTTTATTTCAGTAAAAAAACTGCTTCCCTCACATATTTATTTTAAATATGATCTAAATCTGTCTCTTTGTGTTTCCTGTGCGTGTGACTTCTGTGTTTCTCTCTTTTGCATTATCAGCAGACTCACAGACTGCAGCCTTATCTTCTGCTTTCAGATGTGATGCCTTCACTGGCTGTCGGAAATATTGACGTTACACATAATTGCTACAATTATAGACACTATTGTGTCTGTGTGTGTGTGTGTGTGTGTCTCTGTGTGTGTGTGTCTCTGTGTGTGTGTTATTGTGTCTGTTTGAGGCCACAAAGGTTTGGAACCACAGTGAATTGTATTAACGTATCAACAGACTTCTGAAAAATAACTAAAGCTCTCCGATACATTTGATTATATAATAAAGTAACATTTTACTCTGATTGTGATGGATTATAAGTATCAACTATTATATAATGGGAATATTCTACGGTGGCCCATGAGAGCCCAATAAACTGTAACTTCAGAACACACAAGCTTTTCTGTATTTGGTTCTGTTTCTGTTTAGGTTCTGTTTTGTTTCTGTTTTGTCTTTATTTTAGGTTCTGTTTCTGTTTTAGGTTCTGTTTCTG